TAAGAGCTCACAGTACATATCACATCAATGGGGTAGATACCTAGGGAAGGAAGTAAGAGTTAGCAAAAAGTGCAATCAAAACAAAAAGTGCAATCAATACAAGATCATTGTAGGGGATAGAAGAAGAGCACAGGAAGTGCATGTTATAGGTTAGGAGTTAGAGGTGTTATAAGAGGAAGTGTTCTCGGAAGAGATGAGTTTTCAAGAGCATCTTGAAGTTAGAGAGGGACGCCCCTGCTCTGATGGTGTGTAGTAGCTCGTTCCACCATCGTGGTGTCACAGATGAGAATAGCTGGGACTGGGATTTCTTTGTGTGAAGGGATGGCAGAGCCAGGCGGCGTTCGTTGGAGGAGCGTAGCGGCCGAGAAGGAACGCAAGTTTGTATTATGGAGTTTAGGTAGATGGGCGCAGACCCAGTAGTCACTCTGTATGCAAGAATTAGTGACTTGAATTTGATTCTGGAGGCCACGGGGAGCCAGTGGGTAATGGAGTGACATGAGTCCTTTTGGGCTGATCAAAAACTAGACACGCTGCTGCGTTCTGAACCATTTGTAAGGGTTTCACCGCGCAAGCTGGGAGACCTGCTAGGAGGGCATTGCAATAGTCGATGCGAGAGATAACCATGGCCTGTACCAGAAGCTGGGTGGCGTACTGAGTGAGGTAGGGCCTGATTTTCCTTATGTTGTATAGAAAAAAGCGGAATGACAGAGAGACAGCAGTAACATGGTCTGAAAAGGACAGCTGGTCATCAATCATGACACCCAAGTTTCTCACCACCTTGGTTGGAGTGATGGTTGCGGAATCAATTTGTAGTTTGATGTTATGGTAGATAGATTGCTTGGCTGGAATGACCAAGAGTTCAGTCTTAGAGAGGTTTAGTTGAAGGTGGCAAGCCTTCATCCATGCAGATATGTAAGATAGACAGTCCGTGATCCGCGCCGAGACAGTGGGATCGCCTGGTGGGAAGGATAGGTAGAGTTGCGTGTCGTCTGCGTAGCAATGGTAAGAGAAGCCGTGCGAGCGAATGATCAGTGAGGTGGTGTAAATTGAGAAGAGAAGGGGCCCAAGATCGAGATGTCCATTGCTGAGAGAGCGGATAGCAGGATTCTGTGGTTGACTGTGTCAAAGGCAGCTGATAGGTCAAGCAGGATAAGAACTGAGGATTGGGCTGCAGCTTTAGCTGACCTTAGGGCTTCTGTTACAGACAGAAGAGTCATTTCAGTGACCTCTGAAAGGAGTACCCACCTGAAAACAAAAGTAGGCTACATTAGGACCTGGCTGACGTACTGCTGACGTATTGCGGTAAGCGTGTCGACTCATTTCCGTTTCCGGTGCTTGTGTGTTGGCACCGTGTTGTGCTGCTCTCGCTAAATAACAGTTACATTTGTTAGATTACAGCAGCCAACTGTCTGCTATACACTTATTCTTACAGTAATTTTGCCTAAGCACTCACAGTTCTTTCCATCTTTTAGTGACTGCTGTTCAATCTCTCAGTTGTTCAAAAGTTTTGGTAGCTGACGCTACAGTACTTTAGCTTAGCCGTTAGCGACTTTAGCTTAGCAGCTAGCGATGGCTTCTCCTTCTCTCTCTCTCTCCTACTTTCTCCTGCTCGGTGTGTCAGATGTTCAGTTACTCCTCTGCCTCCTTTACCGGTAATGGTATGTGTAATAAGTGTAGTTTATTTGTAGACATGGAGGTGAGGCTCAGTGATGTAGAAGCCCGGCTCCGCACCTTGGTAGATCAGTCTTTAGCTACTGTAGCTAGCCAGTCCCCGTTAGTCGGTGCGGAACGGCCTGAGTTAGCCTCTGGTAGCCGTCCCCCGGCATCTCCTGTGCAGCCAGGAAGGGGTGGCTGGGTGACTGTCCGAAGGAAGAATAGTCGTAAGCATTCAAAGTCCACGGGGACCATCAAACTGTTCACGTTTCTAACAGATTTTCCCCACTCAGCGAGACACACCCGCTGAGAAACCAACTCTGATCATTGGCAGCTCCATTTTGAGAAACGTGAAGTTAGCGAAGCCAGCGGCCATAGTTAAGTGCATCCCTGGGGCCAGAGCGGGCGACATTGAGTCTTATTTGAAACTGCTGGCTAAGGATAAACGTAAATACAGTAAGATTGTTATTCACGTCGGCGGTAATGACTCCCGGTTACGCCAATCGGAGGTCACTAAGATTAATGTTGAGTCGGTGTGTACATATGCAAAAACAATGTCGGACACGGTAGTTTTCTATGGACCCCTGCCAAATCTGACCAGTGATGACATGTATAGCCGCATGTCGTCATTCCGCCGCTGGTTGTCGAGGTGGTGTCCAGCAAACGATGTGGACTTTGTAGATCATTGGCAGACTTTCTGGGGAAGACCTGGTCTGATCCGGAGAGACAGCATCCATCCCACTTGGGAAGGAGCAGCTCTCATTTCTAGAAATCTGGCCAAGTTTATTAGTGGACCAAATCCATGACAACCCAGAGTTGAGACCAGGAGGCAGAGTCGCAGTCTAACACACTTCTCTGCTCCTCCATTTCAGGAGTTACTTAGTGGAAATCCTATAGTGACGGTGTCTGCCCCCCGACCATCGAAATTATTTAAAAAGGTAAACAGAAGAGGAGCTGTGCATAAAAACCTCATAAAATTAAAACCACAAGAGCAATAGTGCAAATGAATAGGAGAGTTAAATGTGGACTCTTAAACATCAGATCTCTCTCTTCTAAAGGTGTACTAGTAAATGAACTAATATCAGATTATGATATTGATTTATTTTGTCTTACTGAAACCTGGCTGGGTGATGGAGAATATGTTAGCCTAAATGAATCCACCCCTCCCAGTAATATTAATACTCACATTCCTCGAGGAGGAGAAAAATGAGTTCTCCGGGGATAAAAAATAAAAAATAAATATGAGCAAAAACAACAGGTTCCTTGCACTTCATGCTAGGACACCGTTGGTGCCCTTGCACTTTAGTGCTCGGGCCCTAATAATATGCAAGAGTTTAGTTGTTATTGATGCTAGTGATTAGGGCACCCGTGTGTCTGAGCATGAGTGTTTATTTATACCTGCTGAAGAAACTCCAGAAGAGAGGAAGACTGACAAACTAAAAAATAAATTATAAACAAATAAAAGGGGAACACATGAAAAAAAACTGAAGTTGGCACCTCTGAGGGGTAACGGGTCTGGGAGGATACAAAATCAAAAAGTCATCGTCGTTGATCAGTGGAGATGGTAGAAGACTGTTGGATAGGTTGATTTGACCCTTCAGACAGCAGGAAACTGGTATCACTGATATACTGTTGACTTATTGCTTCATGTGGTATCAGTATTTTTCAATTTGTGATAAACCTCTAACATGGAATACACAATTGTGTATTGTCAGTTCTGCTGTTGTCATTTTCTTGTGTACTGTAGATGGGTTGTGAGATGATAAAATCTGATATTTAGGCTGATGGTCTTTGGGGTTTTTTGTTTTTGTTTTTTTTTTTTTACAGTAAAATGTGTTAATGATGGGGTCCTAAGTATTAGAATATTATTGCTGCTGAACTTCCAGCAGATAGGGTCTTCCTCAGTTTTTTTAAGTAGCCTAATGGGGTTAAGTTAAGAAGAAATAGCTCTGACAACTTTTATATTAATTAAATATTTGAGGAGGCTTAGATTTTAAGATAATTCTCTCAGCAGTTATCCAGATAACTCAGTAAACAGGAGGGATCCAACGAAGGTTAAAATCAAGGGCAACTGGACTTGGTTGAAGATACTGGAAGACGTTTCGTCCCTCATCCGAAGGACTTCTTCAGTTCTGACTGACTGGCAGGGAAACTCAGCTATTTAACCTCAGTGGGGTCGTCGATCGATACCGCTGGTTCGTTAGTGTTCCTTGTTGTCGTTACAGTCGTTAAGACTACCGGTGGCCAAGACTGAACGACCATCGTTGGTATCTTCACCTGAGGCCTATAGGTTACGTTTGTTGAGTTTCCTGGGAAGTGATGAAAGGACAGCATTGTAAGTGGGGGATAAGTGGTGGCGTAGACCCCCTCCTCTGTTCAATGACGGCTTCTCAACCCTTGTATAGATGGCTTCCTTGACACCTCATCAAACCATCCATCTTCTCTGTCTAAAATGTGCACCTGGTGGTCCTCAAATGAGTGTCCTCTGTCCTTCAGATGTAAGTAGACTGCAGCGTCTTGACCTGAGGAGTTGGCCCTTCTGTGTTGAGCCATGCGTTTGTGTAGTGGTTGTTTAGTCTCCCCAATATACAGGTCTGTGCATTCCTCACTGCATTGGACCGCATACACTAGATTGCTTTTCTTGTGTTTGGGTGTGCGGTCTTTGGGGTGTACCAGCATCTGTCTTAGTGTGTTCTTGGGTTTAAAAAACACAGGGATTAAACAGGAGGGATTAAACGGCATCTTGGTGAATTCACATTGCTGCTGTTAACACAGCATCATAATGTTTAAATAATAGTTGCTTTTTAGTGTGAGGCATTTATTTAAATAACAGCTTTTAGTTTTGGGTTTTGAATTTCTGTCTGACACTGTGGGCCTCCCCTCAGAAGAAGCTTAGAAACAGACGCCCCTCCTTCAGCTTGGCTGGTCAATTTTGCTCAAGTCCTGGATGCCCAAGTGATCATAATAATGTTATATGATCACATAGACAGAAGAAATAAAGAGAAGACAGCCTAATTTTGCTGTTTGACATCACAGACTACAATATTCTTCTCTGGGAATGTGGGGGAAATGTGAAATTTCTTTAACCACATGACACACATTTAGGCTATTCTAAATCCCCTTTTGGTAATTACTGTAATTACTAATGCGCTATGTTTTTCACGTAGCCTCCCATTAAACAGTTTGAGCCCCCCTGCATGGGGAGGCCCGCCTCCAACTTCTGCTCAAACATTCATCCATAAAGATCACTGAGTTAGCTGAGCGAGCCTTCACCAAGACAGAAGGCTAGCTAAGCTAACATGAGCAGCCGGAGCTATCAACACACCTGTCCCTCACGAGGTACTTACAGGTTCAGGTTGCTTCTCGTGCTGCTTTTCAACATGAAGGCCTTGAACGAAGCAGCAGACAGCGGTCTCTGCTCACTTCCGTCTTGGTTTCCATCTGGAGTGTCCATCCTTTCTCACCTGCGTTTATTCAATTTGTTTCTGAACTTTTAGCTGAGAAACACTGTCTGCTAACTGTAGCTACAAGACTGAAAAAAGCATTCACGAAGTCTTTCACAGCAGCGCGGTAAACAGCGGAGGCGTCCTGCCGTTTCTATGGTTACTCTAACACAATGGTTGCTAGGGTCCAGCCCCTCGTGGAAAACTAAATACAGCTAACTGAACATTATTAATATTGTTAAAAGGCTTTATTTGACCACATTAAAACTTAATATTTACTAGCCTCACGTAAATAACAAACATGAAAGAGGTTGTAATCATGAAACCAGCACCGAGTGTTGGCACATGTTAGTTAGACATTTAGTTTGATGTGAATTACTTGTGGATCATTCAAAATTTAAAAATCCCAACCACACTTTGAGCATTCTAACAAATAACAGCAACAGCCTCAATTCAATGCACCAAACCCTTTTTACATAGTCTATGACCATACCAGGTAAAGTTTTAAAAGGTTTCTAACTGTGCTAAGCATTGGCCTTTTCTAATGACATTATTTCCTTCACTGGTGTACAGCCGTCACAGCCCAGAGCGCATTTTACATAAGACGAGAATACTGGTGATTGTGTATACCACACAGGAGTCAAAGAAGACTAAACAAAAGTTTGAAGTTCCTTCTTAGACTGAGAACACAAACTGTGGTGGGCTTGGATTCAGACAGCAACCACAGACTTCAAGGCTTTCATGAAGGGGAAAAAAGTCATAACATTCACAGAAAGACCTGTCCATCATCATGCCACAGTTCTGCTAGTTAGTGCCACTCACTTTCACATACTGTGGTAAAATACACTGCTTTTATGCTGTTATTCTTCCAAAAGATATTTCCTCAGTTGGTGTTTTAATGCCCGCAACCCTGTATGCAGGATAAGCGGTTGACGATGGATGGATGGGTGTTTTAATGGTGTGTGCTGTAGAGCGCCGCCTCCAAAATCTTGAGCTGTGGGACTGACAGGATAAAATAGCTTACTGTAAAATCAAGATCACAGACATCATGTTTATAGCTGAATTTTAATTTGACATACAGTACACACATGGCTGTAAATGATACAAATTAAAATTATAATCTGTGTACTACAGTAATCAACAGTAAAACAATTTTACTGTTAATCTCTGTAGTAGATTACAGTGTGGAATTAACCTTCCCTCCAATGAGGGCTATGTACATCCAAACTGTAAATCTACAACAGAGGAGCTGATAGAGCTTTGGCTTGTCTTACCTAGTTATAGTAGAATTAACTGACATCAGGCCTGATCAATTGTAGTGCACCTGGACCTGAAACATTTCTTAAATTTAGAACCAGTCCATATAGAACTCATCTCATCGTATGATCACATACAGCTCCCAGACAACAGAAGAAAAGCCCTTCAGTAGATATCATCAAATTGGGTGTGTCTGGAACCTGTTGTTTTTGCTCATATTTATTTTTTATTTTTTCTCCCCGGAGAACTCATTTTTGAAGGCCTTAGGATATTCTAATCCTCATGAAAATTTGCACACACCTCAGGTCTGGTAGGAAATCCAATGTTCTGTAGTGATTGGGGTGTCTTCAACCTCAGCCTGAAGCTGAGCACAGAATGTGAGCAAACTGGAGGTGCTGTAGTTTCCACAAAACTTCAAATGATAGCAGAGAAGTAGTATATGGTCCAGAGGAAAACAACAAAAAACACTTCCAGGTAAAATATGAAGTTAGCCCCGAGCTGTTACATACTCCTCAAACACATACAATATGCTGTGTGTTACAATCTACCTTCACCGGCTGTGTGTTGGGGGGAAAAAAGCATACGTTACATACATTGCAAATTTGCTGTATCTGAATGCAGTGTTATCTTGGACAGACCACAAAAAACTCTGCTCCTCCCTGTCCACCGATACTGCAACACTCGCACACCTAAGTTCTATAAGCTCACTCCTGCATCTCCTTCAGCTCCTGGGCTTTCAAGGTTTCATTTCTGATTTTAAGTGACAAGTATTTTTCATACTGTAAAGCTTCAGCTTCCCAGAGGATTCAGTAGTTTTACTGACGTAGCACTGAGTTGTCCAGCTGTCTCTGCTGTATAATGTAATACAGAAACAGCGCAGAGAGTAAAAGTAAAAAATGATATTTGAGTGAAAGCCCCTTCGGTTGTGATAATGAACTTTAACCCTGTAACCTGACCAGTCCATCTGCATACTGGAACTGGTCGCTGTTTTCGTACTCGAGCATATCCAGAGCGACCTCGCAGCTCTCCTTGACGACACGTTCTCCGTCTCCACAGTAACGCTGCAGCACAGCCAGACACTCCTTTTTGCCGATGGAGCCAAGAGCCTCTGCTGCCTCATGTCGAACCATGGGGTTCTCACCAGAACGCTCCAGAGCTGAACACAGGGCTGGGACCGCTGCAGGGTGCTGCATCTGACCCAGGACATAACCAATCTCATGACGGAACAGAGCACTGGAGCATTGGAGGCCTGGAGATGAAAATGTTAAAAGACAGGGTTATGTAGTGGTGGAACAAGCCAAACACTACTCTTCAGCACTCAATTGTACTCAGGTCAGTTTTTTGCTCAGGCAAACTGCTGCTGATGACACGACACAGACCAGAAACTGTGTGAACCTGAATAAAGCTAAAAACCCCTAAAATATCATTAAATTTGGCTGTAAAAAGAATCAAATGGCTATAAACTGCCACGAGGAAAATATATTTTATTGTGACCATGATTTATACTGAGCGAGACATTTTACAGTGTAAAAACCATCTTGTCGGTGCTATCTGGTGGACAAACTATGTAATGACAGTGACACTACTGTATTTAACAATAATTATGATAATAACTTCATAGAGCACCTTTCAAAAACAGTTCTTTTTTTCTTTTAGTTACAAAGTACTTTACAATAAAAGCAAAACAGAGGCAACTTTCCATTTATAAATCACAGTCCATCTTGGCCCTGTTTCATAAAGCAGCTTTAACAAACTGAGATTCACTCTGAGTTGATTGAGCCTGAGAGTTTTCATTTCCAAAACAGTTGACCAGTGGCCTGTACTAGAGAAGCGAGGTAACTGGCTTATCCAGGTAACTTCAGGAGTAACTTTGTTAAACTGTACTACGAAAGGTGGATAGGTGTTAAGGTCTGTTGCCATGGCAATTTACACCGTATCTCTAAACTACTCCGAGCAGGTTTTGTTGGTGGTTAACTCAAGGTTACCCTGTATACCAGTGGTTCCCAACCTGGGGGGCGCCAGAGATCACAGCGGGTGGCCAAAGCTTTATCTGTTTTGAGGTTGTCAAAAACACTTTGGTTTGCAAATTTTTACAAAATCGTGATAACACACTAGATAATTTATACAAAAGTCTGTATTTTTCCTCACGGAAAATAGTAGGCAGACTACTTAATAGTAAGGCTGTAATAGTTTTGAAACAGAGACCAAAATCGCGACACAAAAGTCCACGGTCTCGTATCGCGGATACCATCATCTCCCAGGACCTCAAGTGGGAGCTGAACATCACCTCCCTCACCAAGAAGGCCCAGCAGAGGATGTACTTCCTGCGGCAGCTGAAGAAGTTCAGCCTGCCACAATGATGTGCACTTCTACACTGCCATCATTGAGTCCATCCTCACTTCCTCCATCACCATATGGTACGTATCATTCGCTCTGCAGAGAAGGTCCTCATCGTACAATAAACAATTAAAACAGACAAAAAAAGAAACAATATAACTACGTAGCCTACTTAACAGCAGTAGAAGCACAAAAATCAAGGACAACTTAACAAATAAGCAAAATCTGACCAAGTCAGCAAAAATAGACAGGCAAAACGCTCCTATTCTGAAATGCTCCACGTGTATACGTGGCGTTAGCCTGCACAGAGTGGAATGGAACGGGCTCATAGAGAGCCGTTATTCGTAGTTGAAGCACACAAAATAACATTACCAACACATTAACAACATGTAGGCTAAACGCTCTGCTGCTGAAACACTTCAGTGGGAGTTGACGCCGGACAAAACTGCAGCACAGCCGCTGTGCCTGTGTCGGTTGGGCTGGAGCCATTATCCCACGTTTTCCTCTAGTTTCGTTTGTTGTTGTAAAATGTACACGCTGTCTGCTCTGATTGGTGAGTAGGACTGTAACACGAGGAGCATGGCGCTTGTGATGGCGAGCAGATCTGTCACACAAGGATGACAACGGAATGAATTTGTAACTGCATGACTTTTTTAAATGGGTTACAGCACACTATGCGCTGTATAATGAACCTACATTTTAATCACATAGTCCGTTGCAGAAATACATTTGCCTGTGATTATCTGCATATTACTCAATATAATAAATACATGTAAGAAACATTTAAAGTTTTAAGTAAAGTAGCCTAATTAATGTCATGTTATTATCATAACACAGCAGTGACGTGGAAATTAGATGCTTTTTTAAGATATGCTCCTATTGTCCTTATTCTATGGATGATTTAATAAAATATTGATTTATTAATTATATATGTTTTTGATATTAATTTTTATATTAAATCGAGTAATAGGCTGAATTTTTTAAAATTAAAATTAGTCTTTAGATTAATCGACCAATCCAAAAAAGAATCGTTATGTATAGTCCTATTCACATTGTTCTTGTTGTTGTTTGAGGCAGAAAAGTTTCATGGCTGTGGAGAGGTCTGGTCTTTCTGTAATTTGACTAAAAACTATTCATATTTGAACTATTATTGTTACAGTATTTAAAAAAGTAATGAGCCTTAAAAAAAATATCACACCATTGGTAAAACAGTAATTATTCCTCTGAGTGATACTGAATGTAGTTCAGAACAGGACTGGAATAGATTTATATTTTAAATATGATAAAACTATTTACTACTATAACAGCAACAGTAGTGTTTGCAACAACAAAACCCACTATATAAACTCAATAATATCTCTCTGGAAATAAATTACTTTGCACATTTTTTTTCTACCTCGCAAGACTCTAGGACAATTGTCGACTATCAGATACCTTGTTATCTTCCAGATTTCGGTTAGTCAGTAACTGAACAAGCCTTGTTTTTTCCATTTCACAGGCTGATAAGATCGTACAAATGTTTCAACTCACAGAGGTCAAAACATAAAAATGAACAAAAGTTATCTAATCTTAAGTTACAGTTGTGACTACAAGGATACACAAATAAAAATAATAAGCTATAGTGTTGTATCCTACCATCGCCCAGGGCCAGCACAGCCTCCTCGTTGCCCAGGTTACGAAGAGCAAACATGGCACGGTAGCGTTCAAAGAGTGGCAGACTCTCATCCAACAGGATGGAGCGTAGCTCTGGCACACTCTTTCTCACTGCTGGAGGGGCCGGGTCTACAGAGCAGTAGGGGTTCTTATCTGTATGTCCATCATCCAACTCTTTCTCTCCTCCACTCTGCAGCCACTCCAACCGACGGACAGCCAACTGACACGTCTCTGCAACCTGCAGGGAGGCATTTACATTTACAACAGGTTATATGCCACATACAATGTTTATACATTTTAGACATGTTTCCCATATTGACCCATTTCCGTTTCCGGTGCTTGTGTGTTGGCAATAGTGATGTGTCCTTCCGTATTGAGGCTTCGTAGCGTGTGTCGAGTAATCCAGGATGATTTTTGTGAAGTGCGTATCGCGAGCCGGTCGTACCACGTGACGTGAATGGTTTGCAGGTTTGGCGGGCGATTCGAAAGGAGCAGCAAAATGTTTGTGGACTTTGGATTTGATTTTTGATTTTAACTGAACACAGTAACATTGTATCAACAGTTTATTTTAAATGACTAAAATATTTGATCTACTCTGATCTACTCAGAATTGCTTTGATCAAATAACTTCAAAAATTGTGATGAAACAGGAAATTTTAGCTGAGTAAGACTAGCGACGTGTTTTTTTTTTTTTTTTAAGAATTAAACTGGGGGCTCTTACCCCATATTAACCTAATAATAATTTTCTAAAGCAGATAAAATCATCTCCAAATAATTGGATGGAAAGTATCAATGCTTTATGAAGCTTTGTCTTGCCATCGCTAGTTGGTAGCGTGTTTTTATCTGATTTGTTAGATTTGCCATTACAGCGGCTAACTGTCCGCTAAACACTTATTTTTACAGTAATTTTGCCTAAGCACTCACAGTTCTTTCCATCTTTTAGCGACTGTCGGTTAATCTCATATTTGTTTTTGAAGGTTTTAGTGGCCAACGCTACCGTACTTTAGCTGTTAGCGACTTTAGCTTAGCAGATGGCACTGGCATCTCTTTCTCTCTCTCTCTCTCCTACTTTCTCCTGCTTGGTGTGTCAGATGTTCAGTTACTCCTCTGCCTCCTTTAGCGGTAATGGTACGCGTAATAAGTGTAGTTTATTTGTAGACATATAGGCTGGTCCGTACTCTGAATTCTTATCTGAATTTGCAGTGTTTTGCCAACTTTAGTCCTTAAAAAACGGACAAAGTTATTATTGTAGGGGATTTTATGTGGATGTTGAGAATGACAGCTTCAGTACTGCGTTTATCTCCCTATTAGATTCAATTGGCTTCTCTCAAAGTGTTCATAAACCGACTTACTGTTTTAACCACACCCTCGACCTTGTTTTGGTGTATGGTATTGAAATTGAACATTTAATATTGTTTCCACAGAATCCCTTTTTATCTGACCACTGTTTGATAACTTTTGAGTTTATATTGCTGAGCTACACGCCATTGGGCAAAAATTTCTATACAAGATGTCTGTCTGATAGTGCTGTAGCTAAATTTAAGGATGTTATTCCAACAGCTTCTAATTCATTACTTAGTCCCTAGTTACTAGGGACTAAGTAATGAATTAGAAGCTGGAGTCCTCCGTTACTAGGTGTTACTAGGCCCTAGTAGTACCTAGTAACACCTAGAAACGGAGGACTCCTATGCTAATTTCAGTCCCTCCCAAATCGATCATCTTGTTGATAGTGCTGCAGGCTCGCTGCGAATGACACTCGACTCTGTAGCCCCTCTAAAAAAGAAAATACTAAAACAACGGTTAGCTCCATGGTATAATACTGAAACTCAAATAGCAAATATCGCTGAGAAATTGGCGTTCCACCAAACTGGAAAATTCTCGTTTAATTTGGCAAGATAGTCTTAAAACTTAGGGGAAGGCCCTCCGTAATGCCATAGCAGCGTACTACTCGTCATTAATAGAGGTAAATAGGAACAACCCCAGGTTTCTTTTCAGCACTGTAGCCAGGCTGACAGAGAGTCACAGCTCTATTGAGCCAAGTATTCCCATAGCTCTCAGTAGTTACGACTTCATGAGCTTCTTTAATGATAAATTATAACTATTAGAAACAAAATTCACCAGGACCTGCCCTCAACTTGTGACAGCTTGACTTACGGGTTTCTTTTGGGGTGCCAGTCAGGTTTCTCTCCTGACACGTAAGATTTTTATGATTTTACACAGAATAATATATTTTACCCATCAACGAACGAACTCCTCTTAGGGATTTAGTCCAATCGACTTCAAATTTGTGCTGTGCCTTCTAAAGGCATTGACGATGAAAAGTTGTGCTATCTGTGAGTTTTCGTCTATGGGTGTGTCCGTGGCGTGGCGTCAAAGATCAACTCTTCGCCATGACACATGAAGCTATTGTAACTTCAGTGTACATGCTCACATCTGAACAAATCTTTACGTGCTTGATAACTCTCCCACCCCGAAGACATCTACCCGCCAATACCGATTTATATTCATACAGCCAAGTGCTATGTAGCGCCACTAAGGGGACACAGCAAGTGAGGTATAGTGAGCGTCATGCCCCAACGCGGGCCCGCCCAACGTTGCTTGCAGCTTTAATTTTCTCTGGATTGCATAGGTGATTTCGCATCTTTTGGTGTAGGCCACAGCCTCCAAGTCTCAAACTCTGTCTGCAGAAATACACCCTCAATCTTGCAAGGAACCTCCACCATGCTTCACTGTTGCCTGCAGACAGTCATTCTTATACCGCTCTACAGCCCTTCGGTGAACAACCTGCCTTCTGCTGCAGCCAACTATTCCACATTCTGACCCAACAGTACCTGCTGCCATTTACTGCACCCCTGTGTTTCTTTTTGGCTGCAAGTCTTCCATGGAGGCCAATGAGAGGTCCTCTCTCCACCCTGGTACTCAATCAGCCTAACAGGGGTACGGAAGAATCAACAAAAATATGGCAAAGTACAAACCTTGTGTTTCCTGTGCATATTTACACTATGCAGTTGAATACATATTGAGTATAGCCGCAGCCCGTAAGACTCGTCTACACCCACCCGCTGTGTGGGCCTCTCCTCTACACCTTGTACACCCCCCCACCCCGGCTCCCATAGTGCCTTTATGTAACTATCGTTCTATTTGGTATAGGCTTCGCCCTCTAAGACCATCACTATTGTATTGGGATAAAGGGGAAGCAGGATGAGTCAGCGCCTCACTGGGCCATACAGTACCACCAAGCACAAACTCACCTGCCCAGAGCCAACACTATAAGGCACCCAATCCCCTGCAACCCACGGCAGTGGTGTCGGTGTCCACACAATCACCAGTGGCTCAACGTGGGAAGGCAGAGAACCAACCCAGGCGTAAAAAGCCGGGGACAGGATAGGGAGCTCCAAAGCTGTGCAGGTGCAGATGAGGTCACGACAGCGACCGTATCAGCTGCGCACAGAGCAGGGCCAGCGTGATCAGCAGCCGCTCCCCCCACCGTCTGGCTGGGAGAAAGCGCACTGCGCACTGACAGAGGACAATTGTTCAAACAGAATGCTCAGTACTGAGTGAGTCAGTGAGAAGCGGGAGACATCCTGCAGGTAGAATTCAATTCAATTTTATTTATATAGCGCCAAATCACAACAACAGTTATCTCACAGCGCTTTTCATAATAGGTAGAAAGGGACAAAAAGGAGCACAGGGAAGACCAGGAGGCCGCCGTGCAGATGTCGTCCACTGACATTCCTCCGTGCAATGCCACAGAGGAGGAGACGCCTCTCGTGGAGTGTGCCCTGATGCCGTCCGGGGGAGATCCGCCGGCTGACACATAGGCTGTGAAATAGCCTCACACAGCCAGTGAGACAGGCGCTGCACTGACAGGGGAAGCCCCTTGGACTGCTCCCTGTAGCACAGGCGGCCTTGCGCACCACATAGCAGAACAGCACAGGCAGAGGAGGTGGCGGCTGATGGCGGGACGGAGAGCGCTACCTTGAGGCTGGGGTCGCCCACATCGAGGCCAGCGATCGCCAGGGCCTGGCGCGGGGAAAGCAGGTAGCCACTGGGAGATCCGTGAATAGAAGAAGTGGAGTCATCCGACTCCTGTTCTTCCGGTAACAGCAGGTCGAGGCCTTCATCCTGGGAGTGGGTGTGCCTCAGCAGCTAACGATGATTTTAGTACTCTAAGCTTCTATAGATTATTTCAATGATTCACTGATGCATCGTTTAAGAAGTACTTTTGCGTGACGGCGGTGGCACCCCCCCCCCCCCGGTGACGGGATCAGTTGTGCACGTTTATAGGTGATAGATATTTATTAGTCCTTTCGGAAATTCATCGTGTGTCATACGGCAAACATCAGACCAGACATCAGACAGCAGCTATACAAGGTATACTAAAGGCTCATAAATGTAAATGCTGCGTACTTGTATAGTGCCTTTTTAGTCTTTTTCGACCACTCAAAGCGCAGACTACACGACTTTCAGCGTCGGCCGCTGGCCGTGCTGTTCACACTGCACAACTTGCAGTCATGTGACGGCAGTCTTGAAGTCGTTGTGGCGTTCACGTGAAATGTGAAACGGGAAATGAGTGATCCTGCACACGAAACAGCTGTTGTCTGTTATTATAAAGATAGCAATTATAAAGACAAAGAATCTGGTTGAAAGGATGGATTAGCACACGCAGGTAGCAGGAAACGTCTGAGCATCAGAGAGAGCTGCAGGTGAGTTAAAAGGTGCAGCTCCCCGACACCCGTTACCTGCTGACTGAGACGTTACAACCCAAACTCATGGCCCAAAAAGGAGAACAACAAACGCACGTGAACATTTTCAGCTGAGGACTGCGGCTTACTTTGGCTTCCACTCAACAATCAATCATGATTTCAGTTAAATGCTAAAGTTACTGATACCTTGTCTGTGGTCCGCTGGCAGAACACCGGGTACTTTCTGATCAGATGCCGTCGTGCTGTTGCCGAGGCGACATAAGTTTCGTTTTACGGTGGACGGACGGTAACATTACAGAGTTGTTGTTTTCTTTAGCTTGAAATAATCCCATACTTTGGATACTTTGGTCCCTCGCTGTTTTCTCTCTTCCTCCACTTTGCAAACAGCACCATCATAATACACGTCATGTTCACAGCGTAAGCGCGATGTGCGACAGTAAAAAATGTCAGTGCGAAACAATGTGCTGTATAGTTATATGGATAAACGAAGCATTGATGCAAAGAATTTGCGGGTCTGTGTAGCAATAGTATGAAGCTGCAGTACTGGAGGCTGCAGTTTCAGGACCCCCGCAATCCTGGGACCGCAGTTCTAGGATCCTAGTTCTTTTGCGACAGCGCCATCTAGTGGAGTGGTGGTGGTAATACACAGCAACAAGAAGGAGGTTAACCCTGTCCGCAGCTGTAGGGTTAACCGGTCGACATGCATATAATCAATAACTTAGGTTTAGGCACACGCTCGGTGGTGGTTGTGGTAAGGATAATTGCTAACTAGCTAGCCAGTCAGCTAGCTGGCAGTATCAAAGTAAACAAGGGTCCTGGAATTTCTGTTCCGGTCCTAGGATTGCAGTCCTGAAACTGCAGCCTCCGGTACTGCAGCTACATGCTACTCCTGTGTAGACAATATTTTCTCAGTGCCGCCAATTTGCGTGTAGGGGTTAACCCAATAGCAATAGCCTTAAGTGCAATTTATACTTCTGCGTCAAATCGACGGCGAAGGTGACGGCATAGGTTACGGGGCTACGCAGAAGCTACGGCATCGCCTGACATGCACCTCCTCAAAAATGTAAATACACGTTGAGTCGACGCAGACCGTAAGCTCTGTGATTGGTCGGCTGGGTAGCCTCACAATGCCTCCGAGCCGACCGGAAGTACCCCGTGCTTTGAAGTAACATTTACTAGAGGCCAAAACGGCAGCTGTAACACAGTGAATCAATAGTGCTCAACAGTGCTCAAAAAAATAAAGGGAACACTTAAACTTGTAACTTCAAGTCAATCACACTCCTGTGAAATCAAATTGTCCACTTAGGAAGCAAAACTGATTGACAATCAATTCCACATGCTGTTGTGCAAATGGAATAGACAACAGCTGGAAATTATAGTCAATTAGCAAGACACCCGCAATAAAGGAGTGGTTCTGCAGGTGGTGACCACAGACCACTTCTCAGTTCTTATGCTTCCTGGCTGATGCTTTGGTCACTTTTGAATGCTGGCGGTGCTTTCACTCTAGTGGTAGCATGAGACGGAGTCTACAACCCACACAAGTGGCTCAGCTAGTGCAGCTCATCCAGGATGGCACATCAATGCGAGCTGTGGCAAGAAGGTTTGCTGTGTCTGTCAGTGTAGCGTCCAGAGCACGGAGGCGCTACCAGGAGACAGGCCAGTACATCAGGAGACGTGGAAGAGGCTGTAGGAGGGCAACAACCCAGTAGCAGGACCGCTACCTCCGCCTTTGTGCAAGGAAGAGCACTGCCAGAGCCCTGCAAAATGACCTCCAGCTGGCCACAAACAGACTCCATGAGGGTGGTATGAGGGCCCGACGTCCACAGGTGGGGGTTGTGCTTACAGTCCAACACCGTGCAGGATGTTTGGCATTTGCCAGATAACACCAAGATTGGCAAATTTGCCACTGGCGCCCTGTGCTCTTCACAGATGAAAGCAGGTTCACACTGAGCACATGTGACAGACGTGACAGAGTCTGGAGACGCCGTGGAGAACGTTCTGCTGCCTGCAACATCCTCCAGCATGACCGGTTTGGCGGTGGGTCAGTAATGGTGTGGGGTGGCATTTCTTTGGGGGGCCACACAGCCCTCCATGTGCTCGCCAGAGGTAGCCTGACTGCCATTAGGTACCGAGATGAGATCCTCAGACCCCTTGTGAGACCATATGCTGGTGTGGTTGGCCCTGGGTTCCTCCTAATGCAAGACAATGCTAGACCTCATGTGGCTGGAGTGTGTCAGCAGTTCCTGCAAGAGGAAGGCATTGATGCTATGGACTGGCCCGCCCGTTCCCCAGACCTGAATCCAATTGAGCACATCTGGGACATCATGTCTCGCTCCATCCACCAACGCCACGTTGCACTACAGACTGACCAGGAGTTGGCGGATGCTTTAGTCCAGGTCTGGGAGGAGTCCCTCAGGAGACCATCCGCCACCTCATCAGGAGCATGCCCAGGCGTTGTAGGGAGGTCATACAGGCACGTGGAGGCCACACACACTACTGAGCCTCATTTTGACTTGTTTTAAGGACATTACATCAAAGTCGGACCGGCCTGTAGTGTGGTTTTCCACTTTGATTTTGAGTGTGACTCCAAATCCAGACCTCCATGGGTTGATAAATTTGATTTCCATTGATAATTTCTGTGTGATTTTGTTGTCAGCACATTCAACTATGTAAAGAAAGGAGTATTTAATGAGATTATTTCATTCATTCAGATCTAGGATGTGTTATTTTAGTGTTCCCTTTATTTTTTTGAGCAGTGTATTTGACCGTCACAACCCGAGCGAAATGACTCGTTTCGCTATCAGAATGTGATCGATAACATTTGAAAAGGCTACACCAGCCGCACGTTTACAATTTTACCCCCATTTACGTTAACGGAGCGCTAAACTGGAAGTTAGCCTGCTCGGCCAGCAAAAGTCAACACAGTGGACGCTGTAGCGCTACTGCCGACTAGCGTTTGGGGTGTAATTGCAGAATGATGGACACACCTACGCACAAGTATAAAGGCATAGGTACGCATGTAGACCCTACGCAGGAGTATAAATGGGCCTTTAGAGGGCGAAGCCTATACGAAATAGAAACGGATTCAGTATTCTGGGTATTTACTGACCTGATACCACTGTGATACCACACAGTGTTATGTTCCTACCTCAATGACAGGATCCTGACTGTACTCTTTCAGTAAGTCCAGAACCACAGGATCACCGATTGCTCCCAGAGCCTCCCCTAAAGACAGACACAAAGTCAAAGCGTATCATGTTTATACAGATCTGTCTTCATCTGCTACAATATTTTAGCTCTTCAGTGAAGAAGAAGCCTCAATGGATGTGTAAATCACAAGCATCATACTTAAAGGTTCAGTGTGTAAGATTTAGTGGCATCCAGGTGAGGTTGCAAATTGCAACCATCTAGCTGTAATGAAACATAACGGTTCATTATGTAAGGTCTTTACACACCACTGAAAACATAGTTGTGGATCTTATATTGCATTTCTGTCCATAGATTCTCAGAAATATTACACGCTGAACCTTTAATGATATATCTGCAAAGTCTGTTTCCATTGCGCTTTGTCACATTCTGATTTTATCAGTATACTAATTTTTTCCACCTCAGCAGGTTTTTAAAAATCAGCTCAGTGTGAAATTGTACTTTTGTGTGAGAATACCAGAGCTAAAAATGTTTTTGTACATATGATAAATGAAAACATGCAACTAATACTATATATCAGGGGTATTCAATTAGATTTCAAAGAGGTCTAGTTAGAGAAAATTTCCTGAAGCAAAGGTCCGGAAGATCAAAACGACGAACTTGCGTTATCATTCAGTACTATAACTTATAGTTGTATCAACACATTTTTTTAGTCAACAACGGACTGTCAAATCAAATAATATTTGATTCACCAAACTGGAAGGATAATAAATAATAACTATTCAAATGATAAATTCTAAATTTAAGTAAACTAAATTAAAGTGCCTAATTTTTAGAAAAAATGTAATAAAAAGTGTAGCTTGAAGTGATGAAGTGTAGTCTTAACCAATTTTATAATAAACACTCAACACATCATAACAAATGAACAGCTGTAATGCCTCCTCTTCTCTTTCATTTCCTCTTACAGAGCTACCACTTTCCTACTTTCTGTTGTTCAGTGAGAAACGTGAGCTCCAGCTAGCATGTTGGAGATCTATGAGATATTCTGGTTTTGAACTGCCCGTGGGAGGAATGTACATGTAAATATCTGTACATTCTTGATTAAAAGTCATGTGAAATCTCTTTTATCTTTCGTCTCCTCAAATCGAGTGTGTTTCCAAAACGTCTCTGGTGAATCTCGCGGACTCAACTCGCAAGCCTCAGTATGCACAGATTTGATTGGCTGAGCAGCGTCACATGAGACGATTGGAGCACATGCGATTGGTCTGTGAGTTTCCTGGTCCTCTAAACCAGTACAGTAAATGCTAGAAAAGCTGCGCGGGTTAAAATAGAAACGCTCCGTCACGAGGTAGTAAGTCTCAATAATAAATGTGCTGTAGGTCGGCGGTCCGGAGAGGACGGCGGCTGGGTCCGGATCCGGACCGCGGTCCGCCTATTAGTGACCTCTGCTATATATGCTTTTTTTGGGAGTCAATGTGCCAAAAAAAAAAAAAAAACACTATCAGGAGAACAAAACCCTGAAATGAATGAGCAGTTATGAGCTACAGGTATGTACTGGTATTGTCTTTTGAATGACTTTTTAGCCTTTTAGCCATTTGTTAGTTTTTCAAATTGGCACTATTAAAAGTATAATGTTATGTTATGTGCAAACCATATAGTATATTTATATGTAATTTCCCACTTAAATGTGTTAGTTTATGTTTAGGCACTTTACCTTGCATGTTTAAAGACAACCACATTCATTTTCAAACATTTCTATTTTGAAAATAAAAAGATCATTTGCGGGTATGTAAGCTGTGGTCTGTCACTGCGTTCTTCAGCTGGTAGTTAACGCCTGAACCAGTAAAGCCAGTCAAGACCAGCCAACTCACACTTTTTTGATTTTTCAGGTATTCTTTCAGGAGGGTAAAATTATGTGCACTTGGTAGTAAGGCGACTCTCTTCATCCCCATAGCGTGTGCACGCATGCAAATGTGTTTACCTGCTTCATGCCTGACCATCGGTTCCTGCTGTGCATCTTTGAGTACTGCAGTCAAAGTGGGTATGGCCCGTCTGTCCTGCATCTGTCCTAGGCAGTAGGCCAGCTCGTGCTTCAGCAGGGCAGACTCATCAGTGAAGGCCTTACTGATCCATTCTATAGCTTCAGCACCTGACACACAGGTAACAGCTTAAATCAATTCACACAATGTAAGACAATGCACAGATTTCCTGCTTGAAGAGTTTTGGTGGATTTGACTACACATCATTACTAGGAGTCATAGCATATATGTTTTACTTATACATAACCAAGAGTTTCCGCTGACTGTGTATCAGAGACCGTGGCATGCAACAACAAATGCTGCCTCTGTCTATGGCTACATTTCATGACTGAATACATAAACAGGTCAACAACAAAAGCCTATACATGATGTAAACAACAGAGGACCATCATAAACTCTTCTCCTTGTTAGCAGTCCGGATATTTTGCACATTACTATACATAGGTTGTTACAGTCGATTCGGTGGGACGTTCGATACTGACGTTTCGACGCTATGTTGAGATCCCAAAGCACAGACATTTCGAAACACTGCTCCAAAGCGTGGTTCAAAACGTCAATGTCGCGTGACCATAGTGAAGCTTTGGTGCGTTTCACCCTGCCACTTCTATGCTTGATTCACAGTGTTTGGAACAAAAAGAACATCAGACTCTAACTCATTTGACAGATATGTTCCAAGGACACAAAATCATTTGATTTATTGGAGCGACGTGCTGTAGTATATCTGCACCTGTAGGCCAAAAAAAATACTTTTTTGTTGCCAGCAACAAATGTTCCATGTCACCAAATTTTTCCAAGGCTGGCGATGTCAATTATGAAAAAAACCCTGACTCAGTCACAGCTGAATAGTTCTGAATAAAATTCTTGACATATAACAAATGTGAGACATTGTTCCGCTTTTCATTTATCATTCTTGAAACAACTTCAACTTTACTCAGTTATGGATTTCTAATCCATTACACCTCATCACTGCCATCACTCATTATTAATTATTATTACACTAGGGCCTGTATCTTTCCTGCCAATTATCATTACACCTTTGTTAATAAGCTACTGTATAATACCGTAGATATCCACATTTATTATTAGGCTATATTCTTAGATTGGTATACTTTATTATATTCTCTACTCACTAACTTCAACTAACCTACCTATTATTTCTGTTCCTTTTATGCCTTAGAGTATCTGCAACAAAGAATTCACCCTCGTAGATCAATAAGGTATTCCGATTGTGAAAATGGATAGGGTAGTGGTTGGTTTAGTGTGAGAGATGTGGGTTTGATTCCCACTGTGATACATGTGTACACTTAACCTTTAGTTACTCCAAAGCTGCGCCCTCTGACATAGCAATTGTGAGTCGCTTTTGAGAAAAGCGTCGGCTAAATGAGTGATTACTTATGAAACAGCACACAGACGTGTTTATTAAACAGATTTTATTGCAATCCCCATCTGCTGTCTCTGACAATCTGAAAGCGTTTGTTGTATGGTGATTTCTCCCAAATCCTGTTGGTCATGTATTGATAAAACGTTTAGAATCGTAAACGCGGGTCAGTCATTGTTTCAATGAAACCCTACCAAGATGTTTCGATATCAAAAGGGACCAGTAGGTGTCACCGTGGAGACGGGTGTCAAAGTGTTTCGAAGCCTCGACACAATTGCTTCAAACATAAACATAAAGCCTCGCTTTGCTCTTCACTAATATATACACACACGTATGTTCATGAATGTGTCAGTGTCCTGTAGACATTTTGTACCTCCCAGGTTCTTCAGGGTGAATAAGGCTCTGAAGCGCTGGGCGAGGTCCAGTCCTGGGTTCACCAGAACCTGTCCTACTGCTGCCACTTGCTGGACACAGGCCATATTGCTACACAGGGAGAAAGACAACTGTATGGTTTATACTGATGTGCAAACTGCATTATGCTCCTGTTCCCTGCTATGGTTATCTAATCAGTTCACTAGCTGATTCTTCTTTAAACCATTCTTCCCTTTAAATATTTTATGCTGGTGTGCTGATTGAAAAAAATAAAAAGCGTCAAAGATTATTTAAATGACAGAAATGAAATCAAATGTGATCATCTGCTGCATTTTCATGTAGTAGATTGCTCTTGATTAATTGATCTTTGGGTTTCGGACTGTTAGTCAAACACAAGACATCTGATGAAATCACCCTGGGCTGTAGTAAATTGTGATATGCACTTTTAACTGTTTTCTGATGTTATTTTGACCAAATAATTAATCATCTACTCATTGTAATAATCGGATATGACAATAGTCAGTTGCAGAGGTGAAAAGAAATGTCAATATCTTGCTCTGCATATGGTTTTTAGTTATATAATATATAAATAAATATATAATTGTCTGCATGAACACAGCCAGTCAGTTTGACAAAGCTTTGAAGGACTGCAGTACTAGGGCTCATTTCAATTAGTCAATTCACTGAGCTAATTGATGTTAACTGGTGAAACTTTTGACGGATCCATCCATCCATCCACCTTCAACCACTTATCCTGCGTACAGGGTCGCGGGGGGCTGGAGCCAATCCCAGCTGACATCGGGTGAAAGGCGGGGTACACCCTGGACAGGTCGCCAGTCCATCGCAGGGCCACACATAGACAGACAACCACTCACACTCACAGTCACACCTAAGGACAATTTAGGGTCACCAATTAACCTAGCCTGCATGTCTTTGGACGGTGGGAGGAAGCCGGAGTACCCGGAGAGAACCCACGCAGACACGGGGAAACATGCAAACTCCACACAGAAAGTTTTAGATCAACAGACAATCTATCTGACACCGCAAATCAACTTTAGACCTGCAGACATCAGAGAATTAAGGCTATTTTCAAAATAATGTACTACGGATGGTGATATAATCACGATATAACAAATGTCTTAACATAACATAAAACAAACTAATGTTGAAAGCAACTAACTCTCATGGATAAGTATTACATCAGACAAACGTCTTCATATATTAGAAACCAAAATTTTATTAACCTTACAGCTTGCTCAGAGATAATATATCATCGCCCAGCCCTAAAACATTTTTAATGAGTAACTTTTCGTCTCGCTCAGTGGGAGACTTCTGTGGTGTATTCTGCTGTGTATTTGATGATGAAGTGTTTGGTATAACTTCAGTATTATCCTTGTTAGTAAGTTGGCC